GCGGTGAGAGGCAGAGTGTCCTGTGCGGTCTGCAGACTGTCCGTGGGCAGAGTGTGGTGTTGCTCTGCTGGTGGAACTTGAGTGTCCACGGGCAGAGCGTGACTGTGCACCCTGGTCTGTCTGTCCCTGATGAGACCCTGATCGTCGAGAGGTATCTGTGGCCTGGCCGCGGGTTGATCCATGGTGGTTTCTTGAGGGAGACCGAGCCTGTGCCTCAAAATCGTCTGATTGTCCTTCAGAGTCACTGGCCTGACTTACACTGGATCCCCGATGTCTACTCTCCTCAGAATCCGAGGTGGCTGGTCCACGTCCACCTGAGCTGTGTCCACGTGAAGTGGTTTGGTGGTGATGAGACCCTGCCTGTCTAGTGCGGTCTCCTCGTTGCTCGTGGTCACCTCTGTGTTCCCTGGCACCGTGGGATCCAGACTGCTGTTGGGAAGAGTCCGCCTGTTGTTGAGGTGTGGTGTGGTGGTGATGCGACCCCGAGTGTCTAGGGCCGTCTGTTGATAGTCCTTGGTGGGACCCTTGTCTTCCCTGTCTGCTTTCTCCTGACTGACCATGGGAGGATGTGTGGCCCTGATGAGACCCAGAGTGTCTGTAGTTGTCGCTTGCCTGTCCCTGGTGGGACCCTTGCTCTCTTGTAGCACTGGAGCCTCCCTGTTTCTGGTTGGCTGAATCAGAGTGCTTCTGAGGAGGTGACTGGTATAGTGTATAACCAGTGTATTTGGAACTTACTCCTTCTTGGCCATGTTGTGATTCATGTTGTCGTCTTGTATTGGCTTCAGATCTTCTTTGGCTTGATCCTGCTTGCTTCTGGTGCTCTTCCTGTTCTCCTTCACTGTCACTGTCCTGACTGATGCTGGGTGTGTGATGTCTATTGTTGTGTCCTCCAGATGCTTTTTGTCCTCGTCTGGATCCAGAATGTCTCCTGCTATTACCTGAATGCTCTTGGTCGGCTTGTTTTCTTTTCCTTGTTGTGAATCCTGTCTCTTCAGTATCTGAACCATTCCATTCATTACTTGCCCTTCCCCTATTTTCGTAACCATTTTCTTCATTTGCACTTCCTCCTCGTTTTGGACTTACGTTTATTTCATATTTTCTTTCTCCATTATCTGTGGAATTTCTCCTCTTATTTTGTTTTCCTTGATGATGATTGTGGTGATGATGATGTGGTTTTTCAACTTCCTGTCTTGATCCACTTGGAGAACCATGTCTTCTTCCAGTTTTCTTATGACTTGATCCGTGTTTCTTTGTGTTTGTGCTCAATGGACTTTCTTCCTCCTCCCGCCCATGCCTTTTCGAATGTCTGGATTCTCTTCTTTCTTCTTCCGAATGTTCATCTTCTAGTTCATCTCTTTCATTGTGTTTCTTTTGACTGTGCTTTTTATTCTTTGAGACTGATCCTTTCTTGTTGTGCTTTTTTGCAGACACATAATATGCCTGAGCCAACTTTAGTATCATCACAAAATATTCAGTGAAGTTTACTTTTTCATCGTGATCTAGATCCAGGGCATACATGACGACCTCAGCAGTATTTGGATCATCTGGGTTCTGTTTAGGTGGAGACAGAAAATGAGAGCTCAGATCTTCAACTGATTTGCATCCTTAAATAAGTATTTAAAATAACTTTTGTAGCTGTGAATATTTTGCACTGAAAGATGGAGTTCTGAGATATATTTTATTTGGTGTTTTAACTTTAGTCTTGTTAAGCATAATGTATTTAATGTAGCAAGTATAGGCTGTAGTCAAAGTCAACAAATATTAAAAGATCAATAGGCTATTTGGAGCCCTGAGAGCGTAGTGAGTTAACATTTGCACTGCCAGCCCAAGGCAAGTGATTTAAATCCTCTAGCTGCTCCTAGGGAAAAATGAGCAGTCTCCTTCCCTGCAGTGTATATCCTCTGAAAACCCACTGCAATGTCGGCTTTAAGTCTTTGTTGACTCAAAGGCCATCACTGAGTGGAAGACCAATGGTATTTGCAAAATATCTTTTTGTTCAGGTGCCTGTTTTTCTTACTTAGAATTTTCAGTATCATATGTAATGTCTGTTTGTGTTACCTTCTCAATATTCCCTCTTAACAGTTTTGAAGTGGACAATTAGTGAAGAGCTAACAACTAGTTAACATATCAACAAACTATGTTATTTTCCCCAAAACAGTTATGAGCTTTTTCTTATTAAAAAGATTGAGTCCACTTGGAAGAGGAAGCATATTTATGGTTTCAGGTGTTTGTATTTAAGGGGATAACACAGACTAAATTTTTTTAAAAGAAGTTTGATCCTGCTTGTATTCCTTTATGAAATCACAGAAGTTTCACAATAATCTTTATTTAGATTATCATTCAAAAGGAGTTCTATACCATTCTGGAAAATAAATAACTTTTACCTTCAGGATTGGTTGAAATTCTCTTTCCAGGAGTTCCTTCAGTTCATTTTTGCTCAGTGTATCCTTATCCTTATCCTTTCTTGAATATTGTTCGAAAGCATTAATGATGGCAATGATGTTTTCCAGAAGAGTAGCCATCTTTAAAAAAATGTGTTAATCTAGAAAGGAGAAATAGAAATTAACTTTTCTTATAATTTTTGCTTTCTATAAATTTAATACTATTAACTTACATTAAAAACTCCATATATCCTTCCTAAGTAGGATTTAACCAAGCTTGACGATTTGACGTACGAAAAGTTAATTTACTGAACATTAATTCTCCAAACGATAATTTGCTAAGTGATTAAATTGTTGAGAGGTGGTTCTTTGAAAGACAATTTTCCAAATGGCTAAGAGACCTAATAAATACACAATTTACTTTATTCTTAAAAATAATAGGTAAAGTCAAAGTTTAAAGACTATAGTCTTTAAAATTGCATAGTATGGTTTTTATAACATTTTTAGTAAAAAAGTTTTAATGGCTGGTATTCATATGACCTATTAAGGAATAAAAAATGAACTCAAGCTCATTGCTATCAAGTTAGTTCTGATCCACAGCAACCCCTCCATTGGATTTCCAGGGCTGCAGATTGTAGGGGGAGGAGAGTGCTCATCTTTCTCCCTCAAATACACTGTGTGGCCTTAGCAACTCGCTATGAACCAGTATCTCAAAGAGTCTTTCTTTGAATCAATATCCCCTTCTCCACCAGCATCGCCCATTCCATTTTACAGTCCTGAGTAGCTGCTTTTTTAAGTACTTTCCTGACATGCTTGTCTTCTTCCTTTTTAAAAAAAGTTCACCTGTAGCTTTGTTCACAATAGCAAGGAGTTGGAAACATCCTAAGTGCCAATCAACAAACGAATGGATAGAGAAGCTGTGGTATAGTCACACAATAGAGTACTATACTGCATTGAAAAAAAAAGGAACTCGTGCAGCATTATTCAAAGTGGGTGACCCTGGTGGACATTATGCTGAGTGAAGTATCTCAGTCACAAAAGGACAAATACTGTATGGTGCCACTGTTGTAAAACAGGACTGACATCAGGGTTGGGGGAAGACTGAGAAAGGTGAATTCAGTAAAGTATACTGCATTGAAACAGATAAGGGAGAAAAGTGTTTAAAAGGGATATGTGATTAGGTATTTTTGTCATGACAGGAGTCCAGAGTGAAGGCTGCATAGTGGAGTGGACCTGGGCGAGAGTTTGTAAAACAATGAAAGAATTTTTCTTTTACTTTTCCAAGAGGGTAATGTACTAGGGGCAAGGGTTAGGAGGGGAGAAAAGTACAACAATGAATGAATGGAACCCCCCCCCAATAAAAGTTCACCTCTTAATTTTCTGTCAACACCACTCAACTCTAATTGTATTGTTTCAAATTACCTATTATCTCCAAGGTGCTTAATATAGGGATCAGTTCTCTATCGCCAACATCTTACTCAGCTTCTTGGTAGTGTACAAAAGAATTACCCATATTTTACACCTAAGATTTGTTTTGTTTCTTCTATGTCATACCACCACATTCTCTTGATAGTCTTCCTCTTATCTATTCACTGCTCCTTCTCAATATTCTTTGCTAACTTCTCCTCTTTACTCAATCTGTAAAGGATACAGATCATAACAGCTGGATTCTGGGTCTTTTGGTTTTTGTTGATATACTTTTTCTAGAGTATTCTATTGGACCCCTTCTAAATTTGTGAAATGATGTTTCTCAGGTGACTTCTGAATTTGATAATTCTGTTTTGACCTTTCCCAGGAGTTGCAGCCTAATTTACTTACTCCTTCATTCATTTAAAGGTTAGGCATTATCTTATGCTGTGGAGTTACAGTAGTGAACAAGATAGAGAAGGTATCTATTCCTATAGAGACAGTTCAAATAAAAAGTGAAACAATTAAATATTAAAAGAGATCTATATAGGATTAAAATAAGAGTGATTTGATACAGACTGAGAGCACTTTGGATTGATTGTAAAAGGCCTTGTTGTAGAAGAAATACTAAAAGATAGTGCTAGCTAGAAGTGTAGGGAGGTAGGAAAATAAAAGGAACAGGATGAATGTTCAGGAGAAACTAAGCAGCTACTGACTACATGAAATAGCAACATCTTTTGAGATTTAAGTAGATAGAATTAAAATATATAGCAATACCAAGTAAAATTGGAGATTAGAAATGAAAGTTAAACATTCTAGAATATTCGGCTTGCTTAGGTAGTAGTCAGAGTACTTTTTATGATACATGCTAATAAATTAAGGATGCTGCATGCTGTAATCGCTGGATAGCCATGAGCAGAATAGTATGAGAATATATAATCAATAATCTAAGAGTTGGGGAATTGAATATTCAAATAATCCAAGATAATAAAAGAAAAATAAATTTGTGAGAATAGAAAATCAAGAGAAATAAGGTAAATTAAATAGTTTGTGATAATAGTGAACATAAATGAACTAACCTACTCTAAGTAAAAGAGAAAGGCTCTCCAACTGTGTTTAATGAATCCAATTATATACTACTTACAAAAAACATGCAATAAATGTGTTAAGGATGGTTGAAGGTAAAAAGATGGAAAAATTGAACCATTCTACTAAACATTATAAAAAAATTCCAACTCAAACCCTCTTGCTGTATTAATTCTACCAGAGAAGACTTTAAAGCAAAAGTATTACTAGAGGGATTACTAGTAGTACTAGTTCATGTCAATAAAAGGTTAATTCAACAAGTAGGTATAAGAAAACATCTAAAGTGATAGATACTTGGTAACATAGGTTTAAAATACAAAACAAATGGAATTTTAAGGCTCAATAAACAAATATGGGAGCTTTTATACAGATACCTTTCAGTAATTGATGCAATATATAGGGAAATATATTAAAAATACAGAATTTGTATTTCTACATGAGACAGTTAATCTCATAGGAGATGGCCCATCCTTCTTCTACAACAAACAATTAGTAAACATGTTGCAAGGAGGGACCAGTCCTTGGAGAGGGACGTCATGCTTGGGAGGGTGGAGGGACAGTGCAGGAGAGGAAGACCCTCGAGGAGATGAGTTGATTCTGTCACTGGGGTAATGGGAATAGGTGTGTCAGAGACAATGAGATTGGCAAGAGATAGAGCAGAGTTTAGGGCTGTTGTACATAGGGTCGCTATGAGTCGCAAGTACATAACAACAACAACAACCACAACAACATTGAACATTACACCTAGCAACTGCAGAATATATATCCTTTTGAAATACACAAGAAACCTTTAAAACTGACCGACTATTGCATCTTGAAGTAAGCCTCAAGAAATTTTAAAGGTTGAAATAATACAGTTTGCTTGTTAGCACAGTGGAATTAAATAAAGAATTCAATAATCAAAAAATAACTAGAAAAATTTCCAAGTGTTTAGAAATGAATATACAATTTCTAAGCAACCAATGTTTTGAAAATTTGGCCATAACAGATTAGAAAACATTTGAAAAGATGAAAATGGAAAAATATGAATAGCAAAATTGTGAGACTCATTAATCATATATTTAAAGTGAAAGTTATATCTTTTTAAAAAATTTTTTTTATTTGATTTTATTATTTTTGTGTGCGTGTACCGTCAAATCAGATCTGACTGGTACAGGAGGAGATTGCCCCTCCTTCCCCAGCAGAGCATCTGGTGGATTCGAACCGTGCACCTCTGGGATTGTAGTTGCAGTTTCTTGCCACTAGACCACCAGAGCTCCCCTGCAAAAGTTATATCTTAAATGTGCAGACTTACAAAAGGAGGAAAGTTGAAAAAAATCAATAACTTGACTATCTCAAAAAGGTTTTTGAAGAGTAATAAACTAAATCTAAAGAAAGTAGAATGAATACATAGTAAAGATAAGAGCTGAAATTAATGAAATAGAAAATAGAGGCTCAACAAAGTTAAGATTTAGTCTGAAAATCTAATGAAATTTTTATATATTGCAAGATTAAGGAGAGTAAAAGCATCAAAGTCATTATCTATGACTATTAGAAAGGTAAAAACAATATTGCTAGAAATTTTATAAAGGTTAGAAAGGTCAAGAATATATTGTGGAAAACTTTATATTAGAAATTGGAAAATTTAGATAAAGTAGACACATTACTATAAGGCACTTTTTACCAAAACTGAGTACCAAGATGTAAAAACTTAGTTATATATTTACTACAGAAATCAAAATGTAAATGAAAATATTTTCATTGGCAGAAAAACTACAGGTCACTAGTAAATTCTATTCATTGAGTAACAAGGAAATAGCCTAAAACTACATAGAAAAAACTACATGTCACTAGTAAATTCTAGTCATTGAGTAAAGGGAAATAATGTAAAACTACATAGATTGTTTCAGAGAATTAGGGTGGGGAGGGGGGAAAAGGCAGGAATACTCATTTTATGAATTCAGCTTAATCTTGATACCATAACCTGATAAGAACATTAAAAACCCAAAGTTTTCAGGACAAATTCTTTCATGAGTACAGATGTATAAATACAAAAGAAAATGCTAGCAACTGAATTAGGAATGTTTGAAAAGAATATCCATCATGCCTAAGTGAGTTTTTTTCCAGAAATTTGAGTTTATCTTAACATTTGAAAGTCAACCAGTTTTTTATAACAGAATAAGAAGAAAAAGCCATATGAACCACTTACTGAATGTATAAACTAACCAATCAAAACAGAAATCTATCTAAACTGAATTTATAAAATCCAGCATTGAGCTAGGATTTGTTTCTAAAATATTTTGATTTTACTTATGAAAATTTTATAATAAATTCTACACCCAAATTGTGAAGTGCTCAAAGTTTTCTTTGCTGAGTTTGGGAATGAGATTAATACACCTGCAATCATACTATTCCACATTGTGGAATAGTTGTAACAAGAGCTTTAAATTAAGAAGAATTAAGGATGTAAGGTAACTAGACAGAAAGTAATAAAACTATCATCAATCATAGAATACTCTGATTTTATGTGTAGAAGATTCTGAAGAATATAAAGGATACAAGATCAACATGCAGAAGTAATTTCTATTTCTCTGACAGTAGTAAGCAATTAGACAATCAAATAAAAAATGCTATTTATAATAGCATAAAAATCAGGAGACATCTATAAA